GAGAGAGAGAGAGAGAGAGAGAGAGAGAGAGAGAGAGAGAGAGAGAGATGGAATAATATAATAATTCATGACATATATATATGTATGTGTCAAAATTTATACTTGTCAACTTATCTCTTCAAGCATTTTTTATAACAATTTTTTTCCTTTTTCACATCACTGAGTTAAATTTTAAACTGCATATGAATTTCGTGCACAGCCCTCATTTGCAAAAAATCTCATACATTTGTTTCATTATACTGTATATATGCTTGTATATATGTGTATATACGTGTATATATAAAAGTTACTTATTTGTGTATTATGTTATAATGTTGTGTATTATGTTATAATGTGTATTAAGAACTCGTCTTTATTTAAAAAATCTCAAAAAAAAATATAAATTTTCTCTCTAGAGGTGTGTTTCACTTAACGTTCGCGACGATCGCGTGTATCATCTCATCCTTATTTAATATTACATTACAAGGACAAAATGATACTCGCGAGCGTTGCAAACGTTAAGTGGAATGCACCCTGGATATACATTATCATTATAATTTTGTTTTAAACATGATTGCAATTATGAAAAGATAGGCAAATGATGGACAGTGCACAATGATCTTTTGTTATACAAGCACACTTTGTAACATTCGACGTATGCACAACTCGAGTAGAAAAAATATCTATAACACAGATACATTCTATCTATCCCTCTTGTATAAAACTATTATTACATAATATTAATTTTTATAATTTACAACTTGTAGCAAGTCAGCAAGTTAATTATTTTCAAGAATATATTTTCTTGAGAAAGTATATCTTTCGCGCGCTCAAATAAACTTTCATTCAATATTAAATATGCATTTCCAATTGCTACTAACAATTTGTACTCTGCACACATCATAATTTGTGCAGAGTAGAAAAGACTTATAAAATAATTAATTTCTGTTTTTTATCGGTCGAGGGTATTTTCGCAACGAAACACTCAAAGAATCATTGGCATTTCATTGTTTATGCAGTGCCCAAAAATGGACATTCCTCCAATTGTACAATTTGAAATTGAATGTTATAATACAGATGGATACAAAATTGCGCAAAATCAACAATAAACGTGAAAGGGAATCGTATTTTACGGAAATATTCGAAAATAATAATATACAATTCGCCTATATCCATACAATTAAATTTTGTGTGACAGTCTAAAATATAATAATGCATATACAAATTGAATAGATATACTCTATATATATAATTTTGTCGTGTTTTAATTATATAGAAAAGTGAAAATAATCGTTTTAATATATTGTATTTTGAATTTATGCGATATTCACTTGTCTTAGTTCGTCCAATATAAATGTTTCACAGAAAACGATGACATAAGATTGTTATGTACGAAAGTTAGTTCAAAGATTGTGACACAATATACAATAATTGCAAATAATGGTCATATGAACAATCATCAATCTGTATAATAATAATACCATATTCCATTAAAAAATAGTATAATCTGATATAAAAACTTAAGCGCTGATAAAAAGTTGTGGCATAATGTGTGTGTGAGAAAGTTTAATTTTTTTCGATAGAACAGCAAAACTCGACACTTTCCTCGAATGAATAAAATATATAGATGTGCACCAGACAATTGCCGATAATTCATATAGGGACATAGCAATGTAAAGCATAGCACTGTAACTTGTGCAATGTCCGGATGAAGATATGGCTGTGCTGATTGATCTGTACTTGAAAGTGTCTTGTCCAGCCTCTGCTCGTTTAGATACTACATAAATAAAAAGTATTCGGAGTAATGCACGATGCCTGCGAGTCGTGATACATGTTAAAATGACAATATTAGGCCTTAGCATCAACTTCCACGGCAACATCTCCTACAGCTTTCTCAGCCTTCTTTTTCTTCTTTTTTGCCGATTTTGGGTTTGCCGAAGAATACAAAAGGGTCTAAAATTTTCGAGTATAGATAAATTAATCAATTGTAACAGTAAAATGACAGTTTTAAAGCTATTATTTTTTTTTTTTAATTTAACGTTTTATGTACCTTCAATTCAGGATCATCTACAACACAGTCAGATTGATACATGTCGAGGTCAAAAGGAATTCCCGTAATTTTATGAGGTCCATTAGGCATTAAAAGTACCGTAAATTTGAATTGTGCCGCGTACTCGTTTGGTTTTTCATACAGCACCTGCATGAAAAATGTAATGTTAGAGAGAATTTTGTTATACTATATGAAAGTTAATAAATAAACACATAAATGATAGTCTTACTTGGAACGGCTCAATCAATCTATGATTTACACATTCAACAACAGCCATTTTTGCTTTTTTTTCATCTTCGAAGGTACGTAAATTGAAAGGCATGAGACCATGTTTGTGAGAGACTTCTGAATAAAACATACGAGACGCTTTCAGTTTAAGCTGATATGTCTCCTCTGTCTTTTTGTATATTGTAACTCTAGTGTCCTGTTCCCTTCCTACTCCTTCACCTGTACTCACTAGTACATCCATTGCGTATACCTGAAATTAAATATGCATTTAGTAAATTAAACCTTTTATAACACTTCTCTTATATTGCTGTTCTTACATCGTAAATTTGTAATTGGCACTAAGAATTTAATTTTCATATCAATTTATTTAAATGTACCTCATGAGTCTCGAGAGTATACTTTTCATGTTCCTTCTTTTGCGCATCGTTCGGATTCTGAATTATTGTTTTTTCTCCGTCGATTTTAAATTGTTTTAACTGATGACTTAGCATACCTTCAATCGGTTTACATTTATAGGCGTTACATATTTTCTCTACAGTGCCTGTTATTGTGTAAGTCTGAAATACACAATTAAGCATTAAAATTTACTAACAAAATTTTATTTTTTACAACTATTTTACTTAAAGAAGAAAAAACATAGCATACAAGTATTTTATCTTACCTCTGTACCTGGTTTCAAAAGCCTTAATGCAGCTTGAGAAGCATAGTGCGCAGCTAAAACTACATCTGCTTTTTTACCTGTGACTTTTTTCTCTGGTAAAGATCCTATAACAATGGTATGTGCCACTACAGCTATAAAACCATCAACATGCGCTCCAAGATCACTGTAAATACATAATTTTATTAATTATATGTACCAACTTTGTAAAGAGTGAAATGCTAGAATTATTTGAATTATTATTAATCACAGAAATATGCTCGATATTGTGAATCACTTTCTGAGAAAAATCAATGATGTTATTTAACTTTTAAGGCGATGCTGGAGAGACGGCCGAACTTCATTGATGTCGATAAAACAGGACATTTTCATGATGTATGTAATATTTTAATTCCAATTAATCATCATGAAAGTATTTACGTACATTAAGTAAAACATTACGTATATTAAATAAGCGATTAAGTAAAACGTTATGTACATTTCTTATTCTACTATATCCTATATATCTTTTGAATGTAAAATTATGTGGTCAATTTCATGTCAATTTCACTCGTAGCATATCAACGAAATTTTTGGAGACTTCGTGCTCTTATGCTAAAGCACCTAGCTCGTTTCTCCAAGCATAGTATTGTTCCTTGAGGATTCCTGTTGTCCGATTGATACTGTTTTTTAACGTGCAAGACCTGAAATTATTATATGCAGCACATATATGTGGCGAGTCGACTGCAGAAGCCGATAACAAAACTGTAAGTTTTTAATTTTTTTTCGTTTTTCATATTAAAATGAATGAAGCGGACTATGTTATTGTCGATACTTTAATTGTGGAGAAGGAATTTTCGATCCATAAAGGCAATTAAAAATGCGAAGTCTCCAAAAATTTTGGGTAAAACAGGACACTCCAGCATCCCCTTAAAATGCTAGTAAAAATAAATCCTAGACAATTACAAAAAAAGTAATTTCTATAAAGAGAAACTTACACTTTAACCATATCTTCATCTTTGAGAATCAGATCAGGTTCACTAGC